CTTTCTGTGCATAGACACCTCTGGAAAACTTAGGACCTGTTCTGAGAGAAGATATTCAAAAGGAAAAGAATATGCTAATTCTTTCTTTTTTGCACTCTTAATGTTTGTTGATTTTTCTAACCTTCTTTTGATGTGGGACTTTGTTTCTAAGCCACAAGCCCAAAAGGAAACTCCACTAAATGATATTGATATTCTGTTTGTGAGTAGAATGGGACTTTTTGAGAATATGAGCATGTTCTCATTGTGAAGTTGTTTGTGTTTCCCTAAGTTTCTTGAAGTGCTCTTTCTCATTGGGAAGTTGATTGGTGTATCCAGGAGGAGGGTTCTGTCAAGTATTCTTAACATTCGTAAAATTAAGAATGTTGATTTTAATATATTGTGTTTGTAATTGGTTGACGGGGAAATGTATCATGTTCTTCATGTTTTGCACTATTAATTTTTAATGTTTGTTGAAATGCCTGAGAACTAGGCAACGTCTTGAGTGGTAATTTTTTTTTTTAACTATGTGAATGACTACGTTTTTATTTATGCTGTTTTAAATTTACGGTTCTTTCATAATTACAGGTTTGCCTCCTCAATATCAAGATTCAATCTGGGGTTACACAACTACTCCACCTTGGTGCTTTGAAATGAGATTTTTTGGCTTGATGTACTGAGTATTTTATTTGCCTAGGTGATATACATCTTATTTGTGGTTTTGAATATGAATTTTAAATTATTTTTTATGTGGATTGTGAATTTTGGTTAATGAGTAGCCTTAATGAAATTGATAGATTTAGGTGATGTTATATGTAGATAACATTCAAGCCTTTGATCCCCATTAGGCTTACAGTAACCCCTTTTTCATCCATTTCTTTCATTTCAAAATTATAGATTTTTTTTTTATCCATTTCTTTCTTTCTCTTGGAATCATGGATTATTTTCTATTATTTTTTTCAATAGATTGGTGCATAAAGCATTGGATAAATGTTGTTGATTGAAATCTTTGGATTTAAGCATTGAGTATTCTTGGGTGCATGCAACATGAATATTTTTATTATGGAATTAATATGTTGTTATGAACTTCATTTATGTGGTTGCGTTAGTTGGTAAATGGTTGTGTTAGGCAAAATTGTGGCATGATAGTTAGACATTTAGTAACCTTTTTGGGTATGAGAATAAATTGTGTATACACTTTGGCCAAATTTTTTTAAGGGAAACTTTGGCCAAATTTTTTTAAAATATATGGAGGGTTTAACTTTTTGTCCAATGAATTTATTGCTAATTGTTGGATTTGTTTCTGGTTAGTCGGCGTCTTTAGGCACAAACACAAGATCAATTAAACCAAATTCAGTGCTCAATGTTTTTTGAATTGCATTGTGCATTTAGGCACAGGTTATCCATAGTAATACTTAAAGTCGATAAGGTACTAAATCATAGTCAAATTTTATATTGTTATCCATAAAAAATACTTCAATAAACATGGGGGTGTTTCTAAATCAAAGTCTAAATAGTGGTGGAAGCTTGCTTCAGGATAAGTCCTTCAGAGTCTAAGAAAAAAAATCACAACATTTTGCTATCCAAGGCATAACACAACGCAGATTTTTTATCAACTTTGAAAAATAAACTGATTTAGCTCAAATATTTCTAGCATGTGTAACCTATATGGTTGAAAAGATATACACGTTAAGAAAAAAAAAAAAAAAAGGTGCATAGTTTGGACTTTCTAACAAAGAGTTATGGTCTAATTAGTGAAAGGTAGGCTACTTAACTAGTGATTCTGTTACAGTTGTCCAATTCGAGTTTAGGTATCTTTTTTTTACAAATCTTATCTCATACTCATCTCTACTATAGATAATATCGCTTGAATAAAGATTCATACCTAGCATCATTTACAAACCAAAAGCCAAATTACCACCCATCTTCTAGAATAGTCCATAAAGACATGATATAAAACTAGCATATCCATCCCAAAATTTTTGTCAACTCCTCTAAACTAGGTAATTCATGAATTCGGATAAATAATAAATCCATAACCTAACTATGCAACAAATCACACTTCTCTTATAAACATAAAACTTCAAACAAATTCAAGCCTAGAGTTTTTTCAATCTAACATAATACTTCAGTGATAGCCCACAACCGACACCTCCCATATAAGACCTAATTTCCAAACTCGGATACCAAACTTGTAAAGCCCAAAAGTTCATCCTGGAAGACATTACCATCTACATACCATCCAATCATAAGAGCAACTAAAAATAATCATTTAGATAATAAATGATCCAACCATCTATTAAATACCAAATACTAAAGACAAAAAAACATTGTAGCATCTCCGAACTTACAGTTCAAAACCAAACTATAACTAGCAAATGAATAATTAAAACTAGCTAAAATATGGTTTCATAAAAATCTCTCAAACTCTAAACCAAAAATAAAACAACTCTATTCCACCAAAAAAATTTTAATTGCAGTATATCATATGTATTCATAATGAACTTATTCACACATTCGGTTAGGACCCCTCTATGGAGCCGGCCCTGCCACCGCCTTGTGGGTTATGCCAACCCTATACAAACAGCTGTTTTTGTCCGCACAATATTTAACACACTTTTTATGGTTTCCTTTTTCTAATTTATTATGCAAGTGTGAACATGTAGATATGATAGTCTCTGCTGCTTGTATATTTATTGACTTCTCATAATCATATTCATATATATCAAACCATATGAATCATAATAATACATGCACTCAAACTTTGTATATCACAGCCCATATGGAAGCCATTTCTGCATCTGCAGAGCAATCAATCGGACAACATAACGTAAATAAAGAAATGAAAGAGATGGAAGAAATGAAAGCCTGTGTTAAAGGACTTGTAGATTCTGGGGTGCTCAATATACCAAAAGTCTTCGTAAACCCGCCACCGAAATCATGCAATGCTGGCAGTGTTAACCTCTAAGTACCCATCATTGATTTTGCAAGCCTTGAAAGTGTTGGTGATCGGCGAACAAAGATCGTAGAAGAAATTCGAAAAGCTTCTGAAAATTGGGGATTCTCTCAAATGATTAACCATGGAATTCTGTTCAACGTTTTGGATGAAATGTTGGAAGGAGTGAGATGGTTCCATGAACAACCAAGCAAGGTTAAGATGGAACTGTATTCTCCTAATTCTACGCAAAGTGTGAGATTCTATAGCAACAAAGGTTTCTTTAAAGCTAGAGATTGGAGGGATTCATTAAGCATTCAATTTCTTGAGGACACTATAGTGGATCCTAACATCTTACCCCTAGCTTGTAGGTATAAGGTAGTTTACTTGCAGAATTCTATTTAAAATTGAATGAATTTTAATCGTGTTTTATAAATTAAGAATTTATTTGTTTTTTTAAGTTGTAATATCAGATAGATGATTGGCTTGATCATTAGCCAAAAGGTCAAGGAATGTCATTGGTATCATCATCAAAATGACTAATGTACTGTCCTTATCGTTTCTTTTTTCTAAGTGTTTTTTTAAACATAAACAACGAAATTTTTCCAAAAATAAATAGATGTTTAGTTAGATGTCATTTTATAATGCTTTTTTAATAAATATTTTATCTATTTAAGTTTACCAATGTGATCCATATGCATCTTAGTATATAGACTATACATGTGCATACATATGCTACTATATATATACCTATATTTATATGTATGCAATTGGACTTGGACAAAAAAAGCAAATCTGAACTAGAAAAAAGAAAAAAAAAACCCAAAATACAAAATAAACGCTACTTCAAGAATATTTTTAAAAAAGAAAAAAAGTATTATATCAATAACATTCTGAAAGAGTAATTGATGTTAATAATTTCTTCGCTCCACCCATGTCTTGTACAGGTTTAAAGAAAAGAGTACATGAAATGGGTGATAAAATTGAAAGACACGTTGGCTGAATTGCTATCCGAGGCTCTTGGGCTAAACAGGAACTATCTTTCAGACAAAGAATACATGACAAGTGGATCATTAATGTGCCATTATTATCCAGCTTGCCCCCAGCCAGAGATGACTCAAGGCATTATTCCGCATTTAGACTTGCCCTTTCTAACTATTCTTCTCCAGGACAATGTTGGTGGCCTCCAAGTTCTTCATCAGAATCAGTGGGTGGATTTGAACCCTTTGCAAGGATCTCCTATAGCCAACATGGGAGACCTAATGCAGGTATGTATATGATTTGCATGAATTACTGATACTTATTTATACATCTCATTTCACTTGAATCCTCACGATATATTAACAATAATGTTATTTAAACTTAATTTATTGATATAATTTATCATAACTACTAGATTGGTCGTGGGTCTAAAAAAAAAAATTAGGGTCCATTGTCAATTCAACGGTAATGAATGATTAGATCAATTCAATTGTTGTGAATGATTAGGTCCATTGTCAATTCAACTATTACTCGTATCTATACTACTTTAAAATGTCAACATATTTGAAAAATATTATTTTTTCACTTTTACCCTTCAACTATGCAAGTACAACATCCATATCTTTCGATCAACATATTTGAAAAACATTATTTTTCCACTTTTACCCTTCAACTATGCAAGTATGACATCCATATCTTTCAAAATTTAATTGCCAATTAAAGTAATAATTGATAAATAAAAAAAAAAAAAAAACCTTTTGGTTCCCTTTCTTATGCTGTTAACAATTTTCTTCCCCAGTCTTTCTCCCTTCTCACTTTCATGAGCATTCAGTATTGGCAAAATAAATCACACATTCCCTTCTTTTCACCTTCCCCCTCTTTTCACCTTCCCCTCTCTCTCTCTCCCCTTTGTATTTAGTACTAGGTAAAAACTAGCAAGATGCTCCCCCTCTCCCTCATTCTCTCTTTAATGCTCTAAATTATCACCATCGCATCACCTCCCCATGGTTCACAAAATAGAGCAACAACTTCCTTTAATGGAACTTTAGCTCTTCCACTACAATCACTCTTAGAATCAGATGAAGCCAAAAGGTGGAGCAAAAGTCAGAATGCCGATGCTACACCCCAACGTTATCAGCTAGCCACTAGCAACGATACTAGCAACGACGCCAACGACCAGGTATCAATTATCTCACACACGTACACACTTGCACACAGATTCTTGCACACCAGTCTCTTTTCTTTTGTGTGAGTAGAATGGATTTTTGATTCTTTTGTTTTAGTCTTTAATTTGAGGTTATCCATCCAATGAGAGGCCATTGAAGCCACAAAAAAAGCTTGAAGGCTTCATTAAGGTCATATTTTCAACTATTTTTTTAATATCTTTTTGATTAATTATGGATGATCATTTATTTGTGTCAATGGGACTTATGAATTGAATTGTTTCTAATACCACCGACCCCCAACCAGATCCACCACATGTTTGACGAAATTCCTTAAAGAGCTATGGAGTCTCTGATCAAGCAATTGATTCCAATTGCAATTAGGTTCGACTAAATGCGGTTTATTAGCTCAATATTTTTGTTGAACCACTTCATTTGTTCATTTTTCTCTCATTTGTTTGTTCATTTTACCATCTATTTTCATGTATTATTTTTTTGTGGCTAATTTTTTTTTTTTTTTTTGCATTGATTTGTTCATTTTCAGTTTAGCATGACTAAGAATGTGGCAAACTTACCTGCCCAACTGATTGGAGGCCAATCACACGGTGGACATTCTTTGATAGCTTGGATGGAGCTTTGTTTTGCTCTAATTGAATTCTTGGGGTTTGGTCAATTATTTGTTTGAAAAACTGAATTTTTGTTTCTTATATTATTTTGGTTATTTGCTTTTTTTTGTTGTAACATGGCTACTATTTTTTAAAATTTTCAAATTTTTTGTTTGAATTTTCTATTTAGTTTTTTCCCCTTTTTTGTTGTCACTAGTTGATACACACGTGTTTTGCACGTGAACCTTTGAAATATATAATTAAGTTAGCATTATCAACTTATACATTGAGATTAGAATATGATAATTAATATAGTATATATTAGCACCTTTTCCTATGATGTTCAAACAAATTAAGAGAAATTTCATTCAAATTAAATATTTAGAAATACATGACATCATCTTTGAGCTGAATATATAGCATATCAATGGAGGTGGAAAATTGATTAAAGGTCAATTTCTTAACCAAATGCAAAATTATTAAAATTAAAATAAAACAAAAAATTGAGGTGGAAAATTGAAGTCTCACTCCATTTGTAGCAATCAAATTTATAGTCCAAATCTATTGCATAGAGTGAAGAACATCGAAAATATATTGCATAAGTTCTCGGTTTTGGTTACACATGCATTACACATTAGAAAATACTAATTTACCAATATGTTCTAAGCTAATGTATACCAAATTTGTCCCTTTTATTTGTTCATGGGTATGTGAAATGATGGTTTGCGAGACTGATGAAAGTTTGTTCACGATGTCTAGTAGCTTGGAAGAATGATTCATGTGCACAGAGGAGGGTCCAATAACAGTGTCTCCTCCAAATATAGTGAAAAGCTAAAGGAGAATGTAAGAAGATTAGCCAAATTAATGTGTGAATTATAATGTTGTTGCAATTGCAAGTTTGTGAAAATATCGACTTGGATCCATGTCATACTCTTTTAGCCAGTGTTCTACTGTCTTATTATCATGTTGGATTGATTTTAACCATTTGATGTCATTGTATGTGGTGATAACCACCACTTCTGACCAGTATAGTGATATTTTGTGACCAACCAAATTTTGAGTAGCATTTGAGCTATGTTTATTGTGACACCCCTAAAATCGGGGGTCCCGTTGACCTTCTGTCAATCCGCGAAAATTCTGTGGTTGTCGCATAACCCGACATCACGTCTACTACATTCCTGTAATTGGGATTACAATTCAAACGAGGAGCCATGGTTCCTTTAATTCATTTAATCCCATCGAGGTTCAACCTACCACAATGTATCTTATTTAAGGTCCATTTGTGTAATTGGAACCAAATAACACATAGTCCAAAAGCATGACAATGTATCTTAAAATTTCAGATTTTTGGAAAATCTTCCGGTAGGTTTTCATAAACCTTCCGGAAGATTTAGCACACTGGAACCTATCTTGAAGACAGAAGTGTCGACCTTCCGGAAAGTGTGTTAAACCTTCCGGAAGAAGTTGCACACTGGATTCCCTTATTTTATAAAAATGTGAAAACCGTCCGGAAGGTTTCACCCACTGTCCAACAATTTTTCTTGTCTGTCCAAACCTTCCAGAAGGTTTTGCCCAAAATTGTTTGTTTCACATATTTTTCATTTCCAATTCGTTTCAAACCTTCTCACAAACATTCCATACATGTACAATATAGTTTTCTACATTATACATGATCCATACAAGTTCTATTACAATTAATTCCATATGATTACAAGCCCATTTACACAATTACATGCTCAAAATGGAAATTTTCAATTGTTTTACAAAAACTTGTCTCCGAAAGCCACAAATCGGCTTTTCTTCACCCTCGAGGCCTCGAATGCGAGTCCTCTCCTAGTATGAACTCCACACTTGAAATATTTTCCGTATAGGGTGAGCCAACACCTAGTAGAGTATTTCCTACAAGGGCTACTCCCCAACCTAAGTGCATATGCAATGTTCACATGCAATATTTAACAACAACAATTATTCCAACCAACACTTAAGCAAGTCAAGGTTGAGATCTAACATACTATGCCATGAATTGAGATGATGCTCATTCATGCAATTTACCCGAGCCCTTCTTGGCTCCATAGCACATGCAATGCCAATGTGTATAAAACTGAGCTTCCCTAGCCCCGGCGATTTCTCTTCACCTCATGCTATGCAATGAGTATTAAAATCGGGCTTTCTAAGCCCCCGCCATTTGGGTTACACACCCAATGGCTAACTAAAAATCTACAGGTCTTTCTTGGGGTGGGTATTTATGGACTTACACCAACGGTCACCCAACCGACACAGAATTCATGGACTTTCACCAACGGCTCTGCGTACACCGACACATTTTATGGGCTCTTATATCAACGGAAGTGCGTATCCAAACACCAGGTCTCTCACCCAAGGGATAGTCTAACCCTTCTTGCTACCCCGACCCAATTCTTTTTCATGCAATCGTGCGACTCAGTCAGGCATTCAATCCAACTTTCTCGAGCCGACCCATCATCCACCTACGTGGTGTTTGATGCCAACCATGCACCCACACCCATAAAATACGATGTCTACGTGCATATGCAATGTAATACATCATTGCTATTCCACATCATGCCTAATTTTAAATCACATGTCTACATGTTCCATGGAAATTCATATAAGCCTATAAATTTCATAAATTATCACAATGTCAATATCTCAATGAGCACATATTAACAATTCTTTCAAGCACATTTTTTAAGCATGTTATACATCATCATGTCATAACAACTTAATCCACACCTAGGCATTTTGGCAAACATCGTCAAGGCAACAATTCAAATTATCACATAAGAATTTTCACCACATTCACAAAGCATAATATAAAACATTTAGTATGCTCATATAATCACTTTTTCCATAGAATTACCAAACAAGTAAGTTCCACATCATAATTTCAAGCTAGGAAATTTTATTCCAACCCATTATACACTCGTTTTCTATACCCATTTCACCCATGTCATATGCATAAATGAGTGAAATACATATTCCCCTTCAACCCACACATTTTATGTAACACTATAAGTGGGAAATGAACCAAGATATGAGAACCCCTATCTCTTTGAAGCGTAAAACAACGATGGGAAGCCTTAAGAACCAAAAATGACCTTGAATCCTCACTTTTCCAAAATCTCGTTTTTCAACTTTCGGTGAAACCCATCGTTTTTGGTACATAGGCGTAACCCTTGACGAGGAGACCGACTTTTGTTCTTGACCCGAGTGAATTTGAGCACCGTAGCTTTGTAGACCGTAGAGAGACGGTAGAGTTTCCCTCACTTTCCCTCTCTTTCTCTCAACGTTTGGAGGAAAGCTAAAGAATGGGGGAAAATCTGATTTTTTCCCCTGTTTATACTCTTAGAATACTTGGTCCACAATGCGCGACACAGGCCTCTTTTTCCCGGGTCCATTTTCGTCGCGAAACGATTAAATTTCGTCTCGGTTTAAGTTTAAAATATTTTTATTTTTAATTTGCCTTAATTTATTTCCAAACTTTCGAAATTTTATTAAAAATTCCGTTTTTGGGTCATCCGAGACTTGACTGCCTCGTAAAACGCAAAAAATTCGATTGTCTCAGAATTCGATAAAATTTGACATGGTAACTAGATTTCACAAGACGAATCCAACAGTTAGGTCCATTTTGTCATCCGAGATCTAGAAAAATTCAAGTTTTCAACCCCATACTGTAGCAGCAAAATTACCATTTTACCCTTATTTACAAAAGTTTAAATTTACAGGGTTTTACATTCTCTCCCCCTTAAAAGAATTTCGTCCCCAAAATTCTCATACAGATATACATTCAAACACATGCATTTGCAACAATGACTTTATACGTAAAATCATAAAACTTGTACCTCTATCTTCGAACAGGAACGGATAGTTGGTACGGATAGTATCCTCGCGCTCCCATATTGCCTCCTTTACTCCTCGGTGTTGCCACAACACCTTCACTAGCCGCACGGTCTTACCTCACAAAACCTGCTCCAGGCTATCTATGATGTACACCCGTCCCTCCTTGAAGGTCTCATCAGCATCAACCACAAGCTCTCCTCAATCCACCACATGAGTTAGATCCAGGGTGTATTTCTAGAGCATAGAAACATGGAATACCGCATGAACACCCAATAAATTTGGCGGTAATGCCAACCGATAAGCAACTGTACCAACCCTTTCAAGTACCTCGAAGGGCCCGATATACCTTGACGACAGCTTTTTCCACTTACCAAACCTGACCACTCCTCTCTTAGGCATCTCCTTCAAGAAGACATGATCTCCCACCTCAAACTGAAGAGGTCACTGCCGTCTGTCGGTGTAGCTCTTCTGCCGACTCTGAGCCGTGAGAAGACGCTTCTGAATCAAGTCCACCTTCTTCGAAGTGTCTCCGATCAAATTCGGACCCGTAGAGGGTCTCTCTCCCACCTCCGTCCAACAACTTAGAGATCGACACCGCCTCCCATATAATGCCTCATAGGGTGCCATCTATATACTCGTTTGGTAACTATTGTTGTAGGCGAACTCCACTAAAGATAAGTGATCTTCCTAGCTACCCTTGAGATCTAGGACACATGCCCGTAGCATGTCCTTTAACGTCTGAATAGTCCTCTTAGACTGATCGTCTGTTTGGGGATGAAAAGCAGTGCTCATCATCAACTGTGTCCCCATAGCTCGCTGGAAACTCTCCCAAAAAAGAGCCGTGAACTTGGGATCCCGATCCGATACTATAGATACGGGTACCCCATGCAATCGAACAATCTCCTATATGTACAACTTGCAGAATTCCTCCAGTGTGAAGGTCATCCGCACAACCAAAAAGTGTGCCGACTTCGTAAGCCGATCCACAATCACCCACACCGCGTCATGTCCCCGCGATGTCCGTGGTAAGTGAGTCACAAAATCCATCGTGATATGCTCCCACTTCCACTCAGCCACCTCCAAAGGTTGGAGTAATCCTGCTGACCTCTGGTGTTCAGCCTTGACCTACTGACACGTTAGACATCGGCTAACAAAATCTCCAACGTCTCTCCTTATCCCGCTCCAATAATACTGGTGACGAAGATCATGGTACATCTTCGTG